TATATATATATATATATATGCATGTATGTATGTATGTACTTGTAAATATGCGTGTTCCGTGGCCTCTTGGTACAACAAATTTTTGAATATCTTAAGTCCCCTTAATTCACGGGTTCGAATTTTCAAGTGTTGGGTGTGGTACTCAGATATTCAGCACACCTAGGAATGGCGTGGGGTTATCTAATAGCTTCGACCATTCCTTTTATATATATATATATATATATATATAATTGTAGATGAAATATGAAAAGAACGAAGGACATGTAATGAACCAATATCTATCGAACTCTCCGCCCGTAATTCTCACAGCCTGCAAATTTTCCTACACACATCTCACTGTCCACGCTTCTTTTCATTAACTGTGATGAGAAAATAATACATATGTGATGATCATGTTACTATAATTTAATTTAAATGTGATGTAATATTTTCATCTACCGTTATCTTTACCTACTGATGAACTATGTAATACTTTTTTCACTGTGGTCATAAATAAATGCACGGATTTCTAAACATCTTCAAACTAGCTCAAGGAAAAAAACATTTTTCATGCAGTTCACACAACATATGTATTCACATATCTAGCTAATACCTAAACCTTCATTTTTACGTGCATAACTCTCAAATCTTTAACATCAAATTGATGTTATATTTGTAAATTTTAAAAAAGACATTTATATATATGATACATGTCATCAAATTCCTATGTATTTACATCTCTAACATTTAAACATACCTTCTTATACTTACATCATCCTAAACTTTCGCGTCACATAAACATACCACTATTTTAAAATTGCCCCACATCATCAAAAAGTGAAATATGAATGTAAAAGTTGAATTATATGTGTTAGATATATATAATCGTGAGCTCTGATGCAATGTATTTTTCTATGTTAGTTGCGCACAACTCTTACATATTTAAATTGCGAAGAGTAATATGTACCTCGAGCGTGATATTTAAACCGAGCTGGCGGTGGCCGCCGGAGCAGTAAGCGCAGTGAACATTCGATTGCTGGATAAAATTCCAGGGATGATTAGCCGGCAACGCACGCATAAGTGCGGTGGCTTTCTCATACTTCTGAAACTGTTCCGTGGTAAGCAAATGAGCCGGCCGGCGGACGCGAAGCGGCGAAGATTGCTGTGGTAGTTGGAAGTCGACGATTTTCTTAGGATTTGATGTCGGGCAGCATTTAATCTCTGAGTCTCCATCCAAACAGTTGTATGGATCGGTGGCCACGGGTTTTGATCGGACCGGGAGACCGAGCTGCACCAACAGCAACGCTATGGCAACTGCTGCTCGAGTTATTGTGAACCGCAAAGCCATTGCAATGAAGCTTTGATCGGTAGGGGGGAAGACTGGTTTCGTTATATATATAAGATGTGATTGATGATGAAGAAGATCATGAGAAATTGGTTTGTATGAGGAACGCGGGTTCCAGCGGGGTAATTTTTGTCCTGGTCTGTTTAGCATAACTAGGTCCATTTGTATTGCCCAATCAAAAAGAGGCAATATTTTAAGAGCAGCTATTCACAAAGAAGAAAATTTGTATATTAGAAAGCAATAATTTTTGCAGTAGAATATATATAGATTAAAAAAGCATTTGAAGTCGGGGACAGGTTCTAGATTTTAAATTAGTTTCAATATGTGACATGTAAATGATCAATCACAATAATACAAAATTAACTTGGTGTTAACCATTATGAAATATTTCATTGCTTAGGTAAATGTTGGATGTTTTGGGAAACATTGTGATAGAAATTTCAAACTGTTAAATAATAGTTTTAGAAAAATTCCATCTTGGGAGTGTTGATTAAAACACTATATATTATCATACTGTTTTTTTTTTTTTTTTTTTTTTTTTTTCCCAAAGAGTTCCTCTTAGGGCTATAGAATACTCCACACACTCCGAGCGTTGGGATGCCTCCCCCTATCAAACTATATTGCCATTGATGCCAATGGGTAGGTGCGGTAACGCGCATCACCACACCATACCTCATTATCGAGCTCCATTTGCAGCCAATTTTTCTATATATATATATATATATATATATGTCACTACTCGAACTCTCACTGCCAAGTAGTTATGTCTCAAATGCACTCGATGAATTGAAATAATTAGAATTCAAATTCAAAATTATACTAGTCATTTAATTTTAGCTTGGCCATTATTATCAACGATTTTATTTTCTTTTATTGAACTATGTTGTCGAGTATAATTGACCTCTTACACAAATGAAAGATTTGAAAAGGTGGTGACTTTGACATTCTATAAACCCGACAACTCTTTTGGCATAGTTATGGTATCATGTAAAAGTTTATTTTTTGTTTGCATCCAAGTTGAATTAACTAAAAGTGGTTTTCATCTTTCATATTAGCATAACTCTCATCAATTTTCTTCTAAATTTTCTTTAGATTATGGAAACATATAAGAAGTCCTATAGCAACGTTATTGTCATTATACTTATGTATTTTACTCATATCTCCGAGGTCTAATTGAAGGTTAAGGCAATCTTTGAGAAGAAGTTATAGAGTATATGTAAACTAAAGGTAGTCAATATGCTTACCGCATATTATATTCATATAATTATCCATAATCAATGTGATTGCTCAGTGCGATCAGCATTTTTTGCTCTTATTCTATTATGGAATCTCTCTCAGACAAAAATGAATCGGTAAACTAAATGTATAAAAATATCTTTTAGACCATCTTAGAGTAGTTTCGTTGATCAAACTAAATCGAATTCAAGATAATTTGCACAACAAAAGAATTTTAATTCATCACAATTAAGTTACCAAAGTATTGCAATCTCACAAGTTAACTCATGTTGTCAAAATTATTTAGTTTAACCTTTTTGTCAATCCCAGAATCTCTTAAGTTGTCATTTTCTCTTTGCCCAAGCCACTCAGGCCACTAACTCAAAATATAAAATAAATATATTTAAGAGTCAAAGTTACTTAAAAGTGTAAAATGAAGTTGTCATTGTTTTTATCTAGACTCATATGCTCAATGTGAAGTCAACACCAACTACACTTGAGCTTACTTATTTTACAATAAGAGCGTATTAAGGTTTCTTATATAACTACACAAACTCTATTTAAACATAGCAGTTTATTTTGTAGTGCTCAATCTTAACCTTAACCAATACCTATAGGCCATGGTTGAGCCTCACATATTCAGATAATGTACTTCAAATTTTAAACCTTGTAACAATTTAATAAAATTTCAAATATTAATTTCTAAAATTTCTTTTTCTCTCATTTTCTCTTTCTAACATGATCAATTCTTATTAATAATGGTCTAGCATTACCCTCAAATAAATTTGAAACCATTACAATAATTTAAGAAATCATTATACTATAGAAAAGGTTAAAATAAACCTAATGTTCATGATAACAACAATGAAATTGCATGAAAAAACATTACTTACTGAACATTTGCACTTTCCCATCAAAGTTCTAAATCTTATATGGATTAACATCATTATGATCCAACTATTACTAGAATTTTTTTAAAAAAATTGTAATCCATCTTCTTATTTATACAATCATAACTCCTCCAACAATGACTTTGTCTCCAGCGACAACGGGCACCAAAGTAACCACCACCCAATCATCACCATCTGCACCAACTTCCTCAATGAATTGCGTTATTCCAATTTGTAGCTTCGTGACCATATGAATTCTTTCCTTTGCTCTCCTCTCCAAATGAACAAAACACCCAGCTTCAACTCTTCCCCCACCAACCCTACCAATATAAACCTTAAACCACACATAATCCCTCCCATCCAATTCAATGTCACTCACAACAAGCTTCTCCCCTTCCTTCCCAACCCTCCTCCGAACATTAACTCTCACATCAGACTGCAACTTCAAGGGAAATGTCACTCTACTCTTCCCATGCCCCTCATCCTTTCCCGCGGACTTACTCTGTCTTCCCTCTTTTTCCACTAATGTCTTTATCTTCATCCATGGCAACGGAACTTCTTCATACACATACCCAAGCTTACGTGTATCCATGATATCCCTTACAAATATGCGCACAAACTGCATGTTCTCATCCCAAAACAGAAAAGAAGCATCGAGAAAATCCTTATCTTTAAAAACCCTGCTTTTGTTCATTGATATTCTTTCCCATATCGTCCATAGCCTGTCTATGTTGCCATGGTGTGCAAAAAAGATGGGATCACGGGCAGCTGTATCCATATATTCCATGTCTGCACTGGTGCTAATGTGAATTGGGCCGTGCGGTGAGCTTTCAATGGGCCCACCACCAGGGTAGGGTTGGTCTGCAGCTCTGTATGGACTTCCGAAGAATAGTAAGCTTGAGTTGAATCCTGCGATGAATTGGCGATGCATGGCTTGAAGATTGCATTGCTTTTGCTTGGGGATGGATTCAGGAGTGTTGTTGCCTTCACAGTCGCCGAGATTAATGAATTTGAGTGCAGTGGGATATCGTGTGGGGTTGAAGAGGGAGGATGAGGGGCGTCGATAGATGGGTGGAATGGTCATGCCGGAGGGGTGGTCCCAATTCCAAAATGGGAGGGCGAAAGAGGTGTCGTTGATGAGTTTGCCAAGGATGCGCTCGTAGAAGTAGAGATAGGCGCGGTGCCAGGTGAAGAAATGCCAGGAGTTGTGGATCTGGAGGAGTGAGAGCGAATTTAGGTATTAGTATTTTAGTTGATGACGATCTTTTTGGCAAACAATATATCACATACAAAATCAATATAAAATAAAATAATGTACCGCATAAATCTATGATGAAAAGTTGTTGATTTTAGCTACATTTATTATTCTTCAAACTTGTTAATGTATGTCAATACTTGTTCATGATAAAAATACTTCCTACAAAATTGTGATGCATGCTGTATTAACTTTGTAGGATTCGTGAGAAAGAAAGAAATTCCTTCAACTAAATAAGAAGTCTCTTATGTTTGGAGGTAAGCACAAGAGGGAGGTATATTAAATCAAAATTTCACAAAAGAAATTTTTTAAATTTTGCAGAGTGCGGTTTCATTAAAGGGTGTCTTGTGCCTAATTAGCTTCTCTCATGTTTGGAGGTAAGCACAAGCGGGAGGTATATTAAATCAAAATTTCACCAAAGAAATTTTTTAAATTTTGCAGAGTGAGGTTTCATTAAAGGGTGTCTTGTGCCTAATTAGCTTAAATTTTTTTATTTATTTTATTCAACTTCAATAAATTCCTTTATATTTTCAACTTAATCATTTTATCGATGAGTGTCAAAAATTGACCCAACATGCCACGACTCGAACTGACTCGAAAAATTTGTGTTCTGGTTGACCAGAAAAATTTTCGGGTTATGTCAACTTAAAAATCTACCCATTTATTTTTTCGGGTCAGATTTGGGTTAAAAATCTAAATTAATTAATTTTTTTTAGGTATGTTTGTCTGTCTCGGTTTGATCCACCGACCCTAAATTAACTTAAAATCGACCTTTCAACTTGGAATTGACTCAAGATTCTCATAATTGAGCTGATTTTAACCTAAATAACTGATATTCCGTATGTTAAATGAGTTATAAAGCTTGAGTTCGGGTTGACAGGTTGAATGCGGGCCATTTCAGGTTGTGCTTTCTAACCCGTTTAATATTTGGTTCAGGTTCAGGTAAAGCTATTTAGAGTCGAGTCAATTTCTTAGCAGACCCGAATCCAACCTACAAACCTAAATTGACAACCCTAACTAATTTTATCACTTATTAATGATTTTTTTATTTCATCAGAAAAAAAAAAATTATATTCCTAAGAAATGTATTTGTTGAGAGTTATGTGTAATAAGAGGGTTAATATCGGGTTTATTTGTAAAATGTTATAAACCCTATTTAAACACATATGTATGCTGAATGAAATACAAAAAATATGGCTTATTCACTTTCAACTTGGTATCAAAGCCAACCCTAGCAGCCTGCATCAATTGCTTCCCACCGCTCCATGTCTGCATTGATCGCTACTCCTATTCTTCAAGACTTGATGCTCGTTGGTACCTTTGATTCACCTCGCATGTTTCTACTCGTGACGTCCAATGCGGGAGGCGCACCCGCGTCCCATGCAGGAGACTCTTCCTTCGTCCAGCGTGCGGAAAACACAGCGCGTCCAGCGCTAGCTGCCGCCTTTCATGTCGTTGTCCTTCTGACCACTACTCTTCCAATTGCCACCCTCCAGGTTGCTGCCACAGTTTGTCTGGGCCACTGCAGTCATTTGTCTAGGACACCGTCACCACACCTGCTACAGTTGGGTCGATGCACGAAGAAGGTCTTGATCTTGATGATGAGATAAATCGAAATAGGGTTAAAAGGAGGAAGATAATTGTTCATAGTTTTTATGATCTAGAAGAGAGTCCAGGTGATCGAAGAGGATGGGAGATGGAGATTGTGTCGAGGGTAAAGGATTGGATCTTCTTGGAACACTTGATCCTAAGGTCTTGAAGGTCTTTACAGGGCTCATACAGAGAGCTAGCGCCTTGACAGGAACTATGATTTTCATGCAGGCTTCGACGAAAGTGAAGCTAGATCTCCCTTCAGTAGATCTGAAGCATGATAGTCGGCCACATATTTGAGATGTTCATGTTGGATTGCAACAAGAATATTGGAGTTAAAGTCTCCTTGTCAGATGTTGAATGAAGATAATGGTGAGATCCTTCTATTGAAGATATTTGAATGTGTATGTTTTTTGAAAGACAACAAACCATCTGTAGGGAAGTTGGTTCCCAAAGCTGTGAAATGTGTATTTGTGGGTTATTATGCTACTCATAAGGGTTATGTAATTTGGAACTTAATTGAAAAGAGTCTTTTTGTGAGCATGGATGTGTCATTCAGAGAGTTTGAATCATATCACACTTTGAAGGTGAATTCACCCTTTGATGACTTTGCAGACACTGGGGATATAAGTCAAGAGAAAGTGAGTAGTAGTGGTGATGGAGTGGTGTATGTGGGAGCAATGTCATGTTTTGTGATGTGGAATGAATAATTTAAGGAGATTGAAATCAAGGAGACTGACAACGGAGGTGGAGGGGTTCATGGTGAATGTGAGCTAAGGGTACACGAAGGAAGCAACAAACTGAGGGAATAGAGTCTACAGTGCCAACAAGTTCCTTGTCTCAGTCTTCTCCAACTCTTGAGACACCAACATGATCCACTTTTCATTTAAAGCTCCTCGGCAATATTATTCCTCATTTGTCCACTGTTTGGCTTAAAATAGTCTCCTCAAGCCTGGTTTGATAAGTTCAGATTGTTAGTGGTTAATATGGGATATTAGAAGATCAATGTAGACCACAAGATGTTATTTAGGCAACATGAGGGTCACACTACAATACTTGCAGTGTATTTGAATGACATAATTATCACTGGTGATGATGAGACATAGATTATTCAACTGAATGGATGATTGGGAAGAAATTTGAAGTAAGGAATCTGGGAAAACTCAGATAGTTTCTTGGGATTGAATTTGTCCATAGACCTGAGGGGATGGTCCTATCCTGTATTGGATTTTTTCACGAAGACATTCATGCGAGGGAGCAAGCCTGTAGTCTCCCCAATTGATTAGAAGGTCAAGCTCAGTGCAAAATCATGTGAATCATTCGATCGTGAGAGTTACTAAATGCTTGTGGGTTGTCTGATCTATCTGTGTCACACTCTACCTGATATTTCATTTGCAGTAAGTGTGATGAGCTGCTACATGCATGATCCAAGGAAGGGGCATATGGATGCAGTATATCAAATTCTGAGGTATCTGAAGAGTGCACCAAAGAAAGGATTGATATTCAAGAAGATTGAACATGTAGATATTGAGGGCTTTTGGGATTCTGATTGGGCAAGTTGTGCTGATGACAGACGAACCACATTTGGGCACTATATATTTGCATGTGGCAACTCGGCCTCGTGGAAGAGCAAGAAATAACCAGTTGTAGCAAGATCAACAATAGAGGCAGAATGCAAGGCCATAACATTAGGAGTTGCAGAGATGAAGTGGCTGAAAGTTTTGTTCGTTGAACTCAAGTGGATCCAGACACTCAAATGAAGTTGTGGTGTGACAACAAGTTGGCAATCAACATTGCTAATAACCCGGTGCAACAAGATAAAACCAAACATGTGGCGATTGATAGATTCTTAGTCAAGGAAAAGCTGAATTACTGATTGTTGAAACTAAGTTATGTAGCTACTGGAGAGCAGGTGTCTTGTTCGCCTGACTAAAGGACTTTATTCATTAGAGTTGGCAAGATTAGGTGACAAGACGGCCTTAGTGAATATATTTCACCCATCTTGAGGGAAGTGTCAGGATTTATGTGTAATAGAAGATTTTATCGGATTTATTTGTAAAATATTGTAACCCCTATTTAAATACATAAGTTTAATGAAATATAAAAATTTTAATTAATTCACTTTCAATTGAATTCTACGGTTAAGAGTCGAAGCAAACAGTTATATTACATCAGGAACAACTGTATTTTATCCCTTCGGCATCATAAGAAACGTCTTGGTGGGAATTTACATAACTATAAAATAAAGAAGTCCGCTACCAAATGTCGCTGGCAGCAATCAACCTCCAAATTGAATGTCATATGCAGGATGCTTGCTCGGCCGAGGGCTTTTTACTCTTAAAAAAGCCAATAATAAAAGTTGACGTGTGATTACTATTTTTTTCTTCACTTTATAAAAAAACATATATAAACCGTTGCAGATGAATGAAGAAAAACAAAAAAGGAATCAGATCTATCCAACCCTTCCCCGCTGCAAATTCTATAGCATGAATACTTTCTCACTTCCATAAAACAAATCAAAATTTAAACAAAAAATATTATGTTTGACAGATCGTTCCGGATGATGATTCAAATACAATCATGTCGCCGTATATCACACGACGGCCACACCGTGGGGTGTTAGACAGCGACCTATTTGGGTCATTGGCCAAACATACTTTCATCACATATAATATTTTCTCCTCATTTTGTCATCTCAAGGAAAGGCCTAACTAGTTTCTTTTTTGAGGGGGCAAACTGCCTACCAAAACTCAATATAGGAGAGATAGAGACTGTTATTTTAGATGAGGCAAAATGCCAAATTATTTTTTTTATGTAAATAAAGATTTGAAATTGAGAGGAGATAGATAAATGCCCACCATGAACCCTACTTAAGCCCCCCCTTGATCTAAAGTATGACAAAATATATGAAAAATTTATTAACCAATTTCAAACCATCTTCAAAAAATTTCTTCAATGGCGCTTGCCGAGCGTGATACTTGTATTTATCTATGCATGCAAGCGTTGTTTTCTTTTTTCCTCCTTATTTTCTAATAGCAAGTGAATAAATCGCACCTCAAGCGTCATCTCTTGACCCTGTTGGTAGTAGCCGCCAGAGCAGTAAGCGCAGTGAACATTAGCCTGTGTGAGAAAATTCCATGGATGATCATCCGGCAATGCACGCATAAGCGCTGTCGCTCTCTCATACTTTCGGGCCTCCTCCAGCGTAAGAGCATGAGCCGGCCGGCGGACGCGAAGCGGCGAGGATTTGGACTCTAGTTTGAAATTGACGATGTTCTTCTTCGGAACAGGGGGTGGGCAGCAATCCACCAACGGGTCATCGCTGACACAGCGGTATGGGTCCGGACTCACTGGTTTTGATCTACCCGGGAGCTCCAGCTGCATCAACAGAAATACAATTGCCACTGCTGCATGGGTAGCTGTGGCCTGTAAAGCCATTATTGTCAAGCTATCAGTATGTGCTTGTGCAGCTTCGGTGGATAATGTATATGCATTATATATAAGCAGTGATGATGAGGAATCGGTTGCTTTCAGAAGCTTGAGAATCTGGAGGAGATGAAGCACGCGCTATTCCAGCCGTGTAATTTTGTTGCCAGTTTATTCTGTTGTTTATTGTGCTGGGTATATAGTTGCTTGGCCTATCTGATTTTTTCCAAGTATAGAATGTATAACAGCAGTAGCTCA